TTTGACATCAAGATGACAGTTCTATAAACAGTAAGTGACCTAAGAGAATTAAATGGGTTATGGAGAAAGCTGAAAACTTCACTATCCATGAGATTTCCAGCAGGAACCAATGTATTTAGGTGTGTCAATGGGAGGAAATGCTGCCCACAGGAGTACTGAGAAAAAAACTACTGAGAAGCGGGACCAGATCAGCAGTACAACGGGTACACAGCCTTGCACACAGCCAACACAAATTCAATTCCCGGCACCCTATTCGTTCCCATGAGCCCACCAAGAGTTATCACTGAGCAGAGCAGGAGTAAGCCCTGAGTACTGCTGGGTATGACCCCAACACAAACAAAACTGAGAAGCATTTCATCCCTAAGTCTACTGCCCACTCCAAACCTATGCAATAAAAAACCTAGTGCAGGAATCTGGAGGTTTCTGTTTGCTGCTTAGTTTTGGGTTTTGGACCACACCAGGTAGTGTTCAGGAGTGATCCTGGTGGGGCTGGGACACCATGTGGAGTGCCAGGGGTTGGACCTGGGTCAGCCATATGCAAGGCAACTGCCCTACCCTTTGTACTATCCACCGACCCCTGGAGTGTTGTTTTCAGAGTGAAAAGATAATCCAAAATGGCAGAATTTAGGAAGCGGGATGCCAACACTGGAAGACTGGGAGATGGTTTGCACAATTCATGAAGCACAGTCACACTCTGAGCTTCCAGTACCCTGTATTAACTCCACCAGGAGCAGCAGCAGCATTCAGGAAAGCATTTCAGATCCTCCAGAGAAGCTGGCGAGCCTGAGGGGTGTCCAGATCAGCAGCTTCCCGTGACTCACCCTGCTCTCTCACTGGGAAGCTCAAAGTAAACAACCATTTCCACACCCTAAAGTTCCCAATCACTTTTTATCCCAACAGTTCTAATTTCAAATAGAGGACAAAGAGACATCAGACGTCTAAGAAAGCCTCTGACGTGAGAAATAAGCACCATATCGATCAAGTTGAAAGCAGTGATTTGGAGGAAACAAACAGTGCAAAGAAAAAAGCTGAAAATCTAAGAGGACATTTAGTTCCTCAAAATTTGGACAAGAATGGCTAACACATTCCATTTAAATCCTCCCATTAATCATCTACTAGAAGGTTCTGAGAGTGAACAAAAAGAAGGCAAGTAGTTAGGAAACTGAGGCCTCAAAAAATGAACCTCTAAATGAACCTGGTACATTTCTTCCCCCTCTGGTGATCAACTCAAAGTTAGGAAACGCTGCCACCTCAAAACACACACTAGAAACATACATACACATACCATCCCTCCCACACACACCCTGGAAAAATTCACACACCAGTTTACCAGCTTACACACACACACACACACACACACACACACACACATACACACAAATACAGACACACCCTGGGAACATAGACACACCAGTTCCTCACACACACACCCGCCCCCCCCCCCCACACACACACACCCTGGAAAAATCCACACAGCTACAGCTTACACAAACACACACAAACATACACACACACACTGGGAACATAAAGACACACCATCTCCTCACACACATACACACCCTAGAAATACACCCCCAGGGAACACACAAACAACACACACACACACACACCAGCTCTTCCCACACATACCTCAGAAATGTTCACACACCCTCAGCGAACCCCCCCTCCCACACACACACATATACCCTAGAAACACATGCACACACACCCTGGAAAAATACACACACACCAGCCCCACCCCCCTTCACACATCCTGGGAATATACACACACATACCAGCCTCCTCTCAAACACCCTCAAAAATTTACACATCAGTTTATACACACACATATACACATATACCCTAGAAACACAGACATACACATATACTCTGGAAACAAACACACATTTGGAAATACACACACACACACCCTAGAAACACACAGATGAAAACATCCTCAAACACCAGCCCACAGAAAAGCTAAAGACTAGAAATCACTTGCTTTGTGTGAGGCCCTGGGTTAGACACCCAGCACTAAAAAAAAACAAAAAGTGCCCGTAAAGGCCAGGGAGTGACTCACAGGAATAGCACAGGTGCTTCCACCAGATGGTCCCAAGAGTACCACTGAAAGTGACTCCCAAGCACAGAGCCAGAAGTAGCCCCTGAGCACAACCAGGTGTGGTCCAAGAACAAATGAGGCCACAAACAGAACCAGAAAAGCAGCACGGTGCCACAGAATCCTCACAAGCTCTTCTGTTCTCCAGGCAGATCTGAGAGAAACCAGTGTTTGCCCCAACAGTGGCTACAGAAACCAAGTTCATCTGTGGGATGTCTGCCACCGCATCTCCTCCTGCAGTGCAGTGAATCTCAGCATCACTCACATTTGGGGCTGAAAAGTCTCAGTTCTGACAGGGCACCCTATGCCTTGTAGTGTGTTTAGCAGCAACCCAGGTAAACCCTGGGTGCCAAGAGCACACCCCCAGCATTTTGCGGAGTAGAAGTACATTGGTGCCAGGGATCAAACCAGGGTTGGCCACATACAAGGTAAGTGATTAACCCCTGTACTATCTCGCCAGTCCCTGAACCCTCAATTTTGATCATCAAAATTGAATACAGAGGTCAGAGATGTAGTTCAAATGATAGAGCATGCAGGTTTAATTCCAGGTACCGTATTGGGCCCCTACAAAAATTTTTGAAAAACTTTTGAAGTTGTTGTAGGGGCCCACCCAGCAGTGCTTGTGGTATCATTCAATATGCCAAACGCAGTAACAAGTCTCACGATGGAGACGTTACTGGGCCCGCTCGAACAAATCGATGAACAACGGGAGGACCGTGACCTGTATGTGGGGCTGTAGCAATAGTACAGCGGATAGGGTGCTTCCTTTGCATGTCCCTACCTGGGTTTGATCCCTGGCACCACGTATGGTCCTGTATCCAACCAGAAGTGAACATAGAGCCTTGAGAATCCCTCAGGTGTGGCCCCAAACCAAAAGCAGAAGTATCCTCATATTAGCAAACAGGCTCTGGGAACGTCATCTCTGGATGAAAACAATGCTACCAGATTTATACCCAACACCCCCAGGAAGGGCAGGCATCCCAGTCAGAAAAGCCTAAGAGCCTCTCCTCTCCCCGACAGGAGTCCATGCTGAGAAACCGGCCAGCAAGTCTACCAGAACAGCCCTGCCGAGACTTCTACCCGAATCTCTACCTGCTAAAGCAGATTTTAGTGGAAACCAGAGTCTCATAAAGCTATACTCAAAACATATGAGGCATGGTTCGAAATTACTCCTCACACTTAAGTACTGGAAAACTTAATTCCAGTAATAAAAGACAGTCAATAGAGAGCAAGATGACACATTGTTTGAATTAGTGGACAAGGATTCAAAATCGGCCATCATAAAAATTCTGTATTCACCATTCATGAACATATTTGAAATATATTAAGGTCCAAATAACACTGAAGGAAGATAAAATATTGAGGAAACCATGGAATACTGTCCAGAGATAAAAGGGACAAAGATTTCCCAGTACCTCTACCCAAATATGTCCACAGCCTCTTCTTCAACCAACCCCTCTCATGTTTAATTTTGCTGTGAACACAATACTGATACAAAATATTCTTAAATATGCAAAACACCTAGAACAGCAGTTGAAAAACTATTCCCATAGTTCTCACAAATATTAGCTTTTGCTTAGAGAAAACAAGAGAAATGTTTTGAAGTCAAGGTTCGATGAAATTAGGTGTCTGTAAATAAAATTCTCCTGGAACACTTGTGTAAATACAATCACAAGCACAGTATTCTCCCAAGCTCCTTTATTTTCCTCCTGTTCCATTAATTGGCTTTGTTCAAATATGGCCTATTAGTAAACAGGATCAAGAAATGGCATGACCAGAGGAGAAGTTAAGAAGCAGCCTTTCCGTGGAGAGTAAGAATAATTGTGTACAAAGTAGAAAACTATCCAATTATGTGACAACCTTTGTGTAATAAAAATTGTTTAAAGTTAAAAAAAAAAAGAAATGGCATGGATGGGGTAGGCTTGAGTAGTGGTTGGGAAAATAGGAAATAATGAAGGTGGGAAGGTGCAATGGTGGTGGGATTGGTTCGAAATACTGAATGTAACAAATCACTGTGAACAATTTAAAAAATCTGCATTCTTAAAAAAAAGAAGAAGAAATGGCATGAGAAGTGGAGGCAGTATTAGCCTAGTGGGGAGGGTTTTGCCTTGCACACAGCCTACAGGTTCGATCCCTGACATCTCATATGGTCCCAGAGCACCACCAGGAGTGATCCCTGAGCACAGAGCCAGGAGTAAGACCTGCACATCACTGGGTGTGCCTCCCCCCAAAAAATAAAAATAGAAAAGAAAAAAGAAACAAATGGCCTGAAAAACGCCACGACTGAGACTTTCTGAAGGTCGTGTGCGCAAGAGGAGAGAACATGGAGCCCAGGCAGGGGGCATGGGTGCTGGGAGAGCTGGGGACAGGGCCGGGGTCACGGCCGGGGAAAGGCCAGGGTCAGGGCTGGGGACCGGGCTGCGGCTGGGGGCCCAGGGCGGAGCTGGCCGGGGGAAGGGCCCAACCGCGGGTGGACGCCTCCCCAGGGGTGCCGAAAGTTAACTGCATGCCCGCCCCTCCGTCCGTGTGTCCATCCACCCGCCCACCCTCCGTCCGCCCGTCCGTCCGCCTGCCCACCTTCTGTCCACCCGTCCATCCGCCCGTCCTTGTCCATCTGTCCGTCCCTCCGTCCGTCCCTGCGTCCCTCCGTCAGCCCCTCTGTCCGTCCGCCCGTCCCTCTGTCCACCCCTCTGTCCGTCCGCCCGTCCCTCTGTCCGCCTTTCTGTCCGTCTGCCTGGTCCTCCGTCTGCCCCTCCGTCTGTGCCGTCACGCGCGCACCCGCTGACCATTGGCCGCGCGGCCACGCCCCAGGCCCCGCGCCCGCGCCCGTCCAGTTCCCGCACGCAGCGCGCTGCCTGTGCCGGGTGCGTGTCCCGTGCTGGGCAGTGGCGAATGACCCTTCGCCATGGCCACCCCGCCATGCCCATCGGGCCCACGCGCCTCTCTGGCTGCGGGCCTCCTCCTGCTCCTGCTGCTCCGGACCCCCGCCCGGGTCGCGACGATGGCCCTGGGCCGCGCCGCGCACAAGGGGAACACCCTGCCGGGTCCCGGGGGTAAGGGCTGCCGGTCGGTGGGGGGCCACGGGGCGGTGGCCAGCACCTGCTCCCCATGCTCGACTGGCCCCGGCCTGAGTCCTACCTGCTCTCTCCTCTCCCTGCAGACTGCGGCCAGCGAGGCATGGAGGGGAGGATCATGGGCGGCACGGACGCTCCAGAGGGCAAGTGGCCTTGGCAGGCCAGTCTGCGCTCCGGGGGCTACCACATCTGTGGCGGGTCCATCATCAATCCGTACTGGATCCTGACAGCTGCCCACTGCCTTGACAAGTGAGTGGGCTGTATAGGCGCCCACGCCTACCAGTTCTGGGGTGGTGCGTGCACTCCGCACCCCACCAGGCTCAGGCAGTCGGAACTTTGGGGTCGCAGAGTGGGGGAGGGGGCTCCACACACAACCCGCAGAAGCCACCGATGGGCAGTGAGTGAGAGTGGATGCCGCAGGGCGGCAGAGCGGTTGAAGTCCCTGCACCCCAGACACGCTCCCGACTCAGAAGTTTTTCCAGAAGTGTCTGCCTCAGAAGCAGGCGGGGGTGGGGGAGCCGGGGACACTGGTGGTGGGGAATGTGCACTGCTGAAGGGTCGGGTGTAGGGACATTTTACCGACTGAAACCCAACCATGAGCATCTCTGTAACTGAAAAAAATAATAATAACTGAGCTTAAAAAAGTAGAAATTCGGGAGTGGGGGGTTGCTCCAGCAGCACCAGCTCCCCCTGCACTTTCTTCTGGGGTTCCTCTCCCCCCGACAGACCTGATACCCGGGTGGCCATCTCCAGGCCTCTCTGGGCACTATGAGGCACAGCACGGAACCCACAGGGCCTCTGCTCTCTGGGCCTGCAGGAACAGGAACGCCAAGGCCTATAACGTGTCTGTGGGCGTTGTGAACATTCACAATCCCGGGAAATACACCCAGAGGTTTGGGGTGCACAAGATCATCATACACCCGACCTACCAGAAGCATCACCCCGTGGGAGGCGACATTGCCCTGATGCAGTTGAAAACCAGCATCGTGTACTCTGAGGCTGTGCTTCCGGTCTGCCTGGCAAGCTCCAAGATGGTGATCAGCGGCGTCAACTGCTGGGCCACTGGATGGGGATTTACAAGCGGCAATGGTAAGACAAGCAATTGCAGGGCCAGTTCCTTTCTGGAGACTTGTAAACAGACCGGGTTCAATGATATGACAGAAAACAAAGTGGCCCAGCAGATGTCTGTGGAGCTGGTGAGATCGGACAGTGGGACCAACCAGTGGGATTCAGTGGGATCGAACCAACCCGAGTTCAATCCCTGGCATGCACAGGAGCTCCAGACTCACACCAGGAGTATCCCTGGGTACAAAGCCAGGAGTAGGTCCAGAGCACCACTGCGTGTGGCCCAAAAACCAAAGAAAGTGCCAAGTACAGGCTGCGCGGATCTGGGGATTGGGGATCCTAGCGATAAATCTCTTTCTGCCACGGCATTTTTTTAATCCTTAGCTGGCTTTTTTTTTTCTTTTTTGGTCACACCTGGAGATGCACAGGGGTTACTCCTGGCAGTGCTCGGGGAACCATATAGGATGCTGGGAATCAAACCCGGGTCGGCCCCATGCAAGGCAAACGCCCTACCCGCTGTGCTATCACTCCAGTCCCAATCCTCAGCTGGCTTTATCTTTATACAGAAAATAGCTATCTTGAGTGTGGTGTTAATATTTAGCATACTAATAACAAATTTCAGAGGAATTTTCCTTACAATTTAAAATTTGACTTGGAAATAATCTCTTTGCAACTGATGCTCAGGGTAGCATATGCAGTGCCAGGGATCAAACAGGGTTTGACTGCATGCAAGGCAAATAAATACCTAAAATTCTGTACTATCTTTGGCCCAAAATAATCTTTTTTTTAAGTCTTATTTTAAAAACTTGATTCTAGGGGTTGGAGCGATAGCACAGCAGGTAGAATGTTTGCCTTGCATGCAACCGACCCGGATTCGATTTCCAGCATTCCATATGGTCCCTCTGAGCACCACCAGGAGTAATCCCTGTGCATCGCTGGGTGTGACCCAAAAAGAAAAAAAAAACACCTTGATTCTAGTTTTCTCCCTAAAGACCTTGTATTTTCTTTCTAGGTTTATACCTGGATACTCTAGGTTTAGCTCTTTCAGGGAATGAGACAAATACTGTTATTGTTTCTGGCATATTGAATACACCCCGGGAGCTTGCCAGGCTCTGCTGTGTGGGCAGGATACTCTCAGGAGATTGCCAGGTTCTCTGAGAAGGAGAACTAGACTATAACAGAGGCTGCTAAAATCTAGGATGAATGCAGGTGTTACTGGTGCCTGCTCGAGCAAATCGATGAATAACGGATGACAGTGATACTTTAGGTTTATACCTGGTAGAGCTGGGGGAAGGTGTAACAATGCTAGGGATGAAATCTAGGGCTGCCATCACTTGAGTCACATCTCCCAGTCTTACGAGATTCCTTTTTGTTTTGCTCTGTTTGGGGGCAACACCTGAAGGTACAAGGGCTGACTCCTGGCTTTACACACAAACACTGCTGTTCACCTTTTGTCGTACTCATCAGCTTCAAAGCACCCAAATTCCCCAAGAACTGTGGGCTAATACACCTTCCCCCAAATAATCCCTTTGGCAGGTGTTCTGCTGGGTCTTCAACCCATGAGCACTACTCTCCAGCCCACGTCTAGCCAGACCACAGGGTCCCTGGCATGCAGGATCTCCAGTACCACAGGTTGGACCCATCACTGGGGGTCACAGGCTTATTTCCTGCAGATGTTCTGTTGACCACTCTCACTCAGGGACTCAGTGTTTACTAACAGGCCTAAAGAGATCCTGCCCTTAACCTCTCTCTGAGAAAATGCCACGTGATACCTGTGGCACACTTCACTAGCCCTAGCCTGAGTCCCAGGATGGACAAATTTAAGGTATCAGATGTGGGGAGACCCTAGACCCTGGGTTACAGAAATGAGAATGCCAAGGACAGGGGCGGGGAGGCAGAAGGTGGGGATGCATGGCACTGACCAGGAGTAGAGGCGTGATGACTCTATGTAGCAGAACCGTAAGAGCCAACGCTAAGTGTGTGTCCCAGACTTGAATGACTAAATCAAGAGAGACAGAGTGGAGGGTAGGCGGGAACCTTGAGAAAATGGTGGTGGGATGCCGACAGGTTGTGTGCTCAGAGGTGGGTCACTGTGTACCTTACACTTCATTATTAGCAGCACTGTAAATCACAGTGCCTAAATTGAAACTGTAAGAGTTACAGTAATTTCCGAGAGGTGAGCCTTCAGGGAGAGCGCACTGGAGACAGTCGTGAGATGACTGGTGACCGGGCCTGCACTCCACTCCCACAGAAGACACCTCGCCGAAGCTGCAGGAGGTCCAGCTGCCTCTGATCCCAACACAGACGTGCCAGCAGATCTTCGGCCACTCCTCATATATTACACCAGACATGCTGTGTGCTGGGGACCTCCAGAATTTCAAGACCGTGTGTGAGGTGCGCCCCACTGCAGGAGCAAGAGGCCAAGCCGAGGCCTCTCCGATGTCCTGTCTTCCCCTGGGTGGGTAGGTGGTCTCAGCTGGCCTAACCCCTGCAAGGCCCAAGAGCCATCTACTGGGTGGAAACATAAGGGCGGCTCATGAGCATATGGGACACAGTCTTAGTCCAACGTGGATTTCAGAACCAGCTGTAGCAACCCAGGGCTCTGTATCTGCCTCTCCCCTCTGCCTGCAGGACAGCACTGCAACACTGCCTCCAGCTACATGGACTGGCACTCGTGGGCCCTGGCTGATCACTGGCAGGGTTGTCAGGCCTCAACTACTGGCTCACAGGAGAATGCTCTTTTCCAGGGCGACTCTGGGGGTCCGTTTGTCTGCAAAATCGACAACAGCTGGGTACAGATTGGAGTCGTGAGCTGGGGCCGAACTTGTGCAAACCCTACGTACCCTGCAGTTTTCGCCCGCGTCACCCATTTCTCAGACTGGATCAAGGATAAAGTAGAAAAGACACCGCTACCTTTTCAGTCTGTCCCTGCTCTCTCCCCCACTCTGGTGACCACTTGCAGAGCCCTTGTGACCACACTGGCTATCGTGTCTTTCTGCTTTGGCTGAGATTCTCCCCAGCGCCCTCAGGGCTGCCACCTCTGTCCCTGCACAGCTCCTCAACTCCCTGAGCCCCTGATCATGATGAGAGCTGCTGGTCTGGCCCAGGTGCAGGGTTCAGAAAACAGCTGGCCATGGCCATGGCCAGGAAGACAGAAGCTAGTCTTCACAGAAGACTAAAGGTGCTGGTGAGAACAAGACATCTTGGCTGAGTGCTGCAGGCATGTGAAATGTGGTGAGGTATTAAACATGTACAAATCCAGCAACCAGTAGTTCTGAATTCATCTTTCCACCCAGAAAGAACACAGACAGCAAGGGCAACCCACCTGCAGGAGAAGTGCAAACCAAACAGCACCACTATACATAAGGCCATACACAGTGGGGGAGATCAGAGCCAAGGCCAGTGGAAGGCCATTGTCTTAAAATCAGACCTGTCGATGGGCCACTCCTTCCCACCTCCCTCCGATCCCCATGGGACCATGGAGGCCAGGATGCTATTTAAATTCCTTAATGGCCATGATCCAGAGACACACAAAAGAATCTCCAAACCGAGCGTCTCCCTCAGAGATTTCTCCAGACCCTATAGCTTGGTAGCACTGTCGTCCCGTTAATCACTGATTTTCTTGAGCGGGTGCCAGTAGCATCTCCATCTGTCCCAGCCCTGAGATTTTAGCATCAGAGACTTTATGCCCTCTCTCCGAGGATGCAGCACACCAGCTGGATGTCCTTGGGCATCATGGTGATGCGCTAGGCGTGGATGGTGCAAAAGTTGGTGTCCTAGAAGAGCCCCACCAGGTAGGTCTTGCCCACCTCCTGCAGCGCCATGACAGCCGCCAAGCTCTGGGAGCGCAGGTCGGTCGTGAAGTCCTGTGTGATCTCACCACCAGCTGCTGGAACGGCAGCTTGTGGATAAGCAGCTCGGTGGACTTCTGGTAGTGACAGATCTCGCACAGCGCCACGGTGTCGGGCCGGTAGCCGTGTGGCTTCTTCACGCTGCCCATGACTGGCGCACTCTAGCAGGCTTCCTTGGTGACCAGCTGCTTGCAGCGCGTCTTCCCACCCTTTGACTTGCGCACCATCTGCTTAGTACGAGCCCCCTCGTTCTTCCCAACTCAGCTGAAGACTCCTTCAAGATTAGGGAAATGAGACCCCTTTTTGCTACTGTTGTTGGCATATTTAGTATGTCACGGATAGCTTGCCAGGCTCTCCGGGGAGGAGGGGAATGGAGACTTTTGGGGCGATCGCATAGGGTCTGTGCCTGGTCGAACACCTGTGCCAAGTCCCAAGTCACTCGGTGGCTGACAGACGGCGTCCTGCAGTGGATAAGCCACTGAGTGTGTTACTGTCACTGTTCCATGCTCGATGGTGTTGTGACTTGGCCCGGCTGGGGGAGGCGCTGATGCTGCAGCCGCCGCCACAGTTTTTTCTCACCCTGCCGGTGCCATTCTGTCTTAATCCTGCAAAGCAGCTGGTGATGTTCAGCAGGAATCATGCATAGAGTTCCAGCAGGGATCACACGCGGAATTCCATGCCTAGCGTGCTGAGTCGCACATCATCCAGAGTGAGATGGTGAGCTGGGTTCAGGAGAGCGCGAGGGGTTCAACCGACATCGGCACCATCTTGCCTCCAACTCCCTCCTCCAGACCCTAACTATCTAAAATGTTAGAATTCCAGGAGTGTGCTGCCACTCCTGTGGCCACACAACATCCTATGCTATTCATAACAAGCAATACAAAAGAGAGTATGGATGTACATAATGGGAAGCAGCTGTTAGGAGAGATGAAGTCATGAAATTTGCTTATAAGAGGATGGATATGGAGAGTATCATGCTAAGTGAAATGAGTTAGAGAAGGACAGACACAGAAGGACTGCACTCATTTTTGGAATATAAAATAAAATGGTAAAAGGTAAAGGCCCTGTAGGGCATTTGCCTTGCACGCAGCCAACATGGCCAACCCGAGTTCGATTCCTCTGCCCCTCTCGGAGAGCCCGGCAAGCTACCGAGAGTATCTCGCCCGCACGGCAGAGCCTGGCAAGCTCCCCGTGACATATTCGATATGCCAAACACAGTAACAACAAAGTCTCCAATGGAGACGTTACTGGGCCCGCTCGAGCAAATCGATGAACAACGGGAGGGCCTTTACTTTACTTTTACTTAAAATAAAATGAGACTGACACCCAAGGACAGTAGACGCAAGGGTCAGGAATACTGCCCCATAGTTGGAAGCCTGTCTCATGAGCTGGAGAAGGCAGCTGGAATAGAGAAGGGATCACTAAGTCAATGATGGTTGGAGGAATCGTTCAGGGTGGGAGATGTGTGTTGAAAGTAGATAAAGGACCAAACATGATAACCTCTCTATCTGTGTTGCAAACCTTAATGCCCAAAAGTAAAAAGTATGGGGGAATTGTCTGCCATGGAGGCAGGAGGAGGTCTGGAAAGCGGGGGGGGGGGGGGGGGGGGATAGACTGGGGACATTGGTGATGGAGAATGTGCACTGGTGGAGGGATGAGTGATCATTGTATGATTGAAATTCAAACATGAAAGCTTGTAACTGTGCAATAGCCAGAATCTGGAAAAAACCTGAGTGCCCAAGAGCAGATGACTGGTTAAAGAAACTTTGGTACATCTACACAATGGAGTACTATGTAGCTGTTAGAAAAGATGAAGTTATGAAATTTACATACAAGTGGTACTACATGGAAAGTATCATGTTAAGCAAAATGAGTCAGAAAGAGCGGGATAGACACAGAAAGATTGCATTCATCTGGGGAACACAAAGCAACAAAAAGGGAGACTAACACCCAGGAATGGCTGAGATTAGTACCAGGAATTTTGCTCCATGACTTGAAGGCCAGCCACACGTTCTAGGTGAAAAGGAAGCTCAGATAGAGAAGAGAGCACCAAATGAAGGGTGTTGTGAGGACCCTCCCAGGGTGGGAGAAGCATGCTAAAAGTAGTCTATAGATCAAACATGATTGATCAATGCCTCTCTTGCAAAACACAGTACCCAAAAGAAGAGAGAGAACAAGGGGTAATACCCTGCCACAGAGACAGGATGGGACGGGGGGAATGGGGGGGAGATGCTGGGACCCGTGGTGATGGATGACAGGCACTGGTGGAGGGATGGGCACTTGATCACTGTATAACTGAAACCCAAGCACAAAATTTGTAAGCCTATAACTGTACCTCATGGTGTTTCACTAATTAAAAAGGGGGGGGGAAAAAAGCTTGTAACTGTGATTAATCACAGTGATTTAATTAAAAAAAGAAAAAATATTAAATTTATTTTTAAAAGGAGAGTATGGGGGGGTGGCGCATATGCTTGCACGTGGCCAACCTGGGTTCAATTCCCAGCATCCTATATGGTCCCCTGAGCACCGCCAGGAGTAATTCCTGATTGCAGAGCCAGGAGTAACTCCTGTGCATCGCCGGATGTGACCCAAAAAGCAAAAAAAAAAAAAAAAAAAAAAGGGAGAGTAGTATGGGGGGGATACTGGGGACATTGGTCATGGAAGATGTGCACTGGTGGAGGGTTGGGTCATCAATCACTGTATGACTGAAACTCAAACAGGAAAGCTTTGTAACTATATTATGGTGATTTAAACATAATAATAATAATAATTTTAAAATAAAATTAACATTCTGAATTTTAAAAAACGTGGAGTTCATGCTCAATTCAATCAGCTTAAGCAATGCTTGAATAAACGGTATTTCTACATTAAAAATATAATAATATTTTTTAAATCAGAGCTGTCATATCAAAGAAGTTTCGATTCCATAAACATTCAATTTCAAGAGATGAAAGCCACGAGCTAAGAATTAGCACAGGAGGGAATGAAAAAGGTGAAAGCAGAAATCAGTGGGAAGGGTGCTTGCCTTGGCTGGGTTGGAGCCCTGGGCTCATCCCTCATCCCATGTGATCCCCCAAACACAGGAGTGATTCTTGAGCACAGAGCTAGGAGTAAGCCCTGAGCATCGCCAGGTGTGGCCTAAATTTTTTAAGGCATGTTATATAATCAGGCAGTATTCATTCCAGTAACATATGGCCAATTAAACATTAGGAAACTCATAAGTTTAATTTACCTTACTAACTGCTTTTCTAAGGTGGAAAATATTGATTAAAAAGGCTATTATACCTTTTAACTCCAAAGCTATAGATCATCCCTAGGGCCTCACTAATGAACCCATTTCCAATTTTTTTAAAGATACATTTCTAATTTTTTAAAAATAAAAGTCAGGGTCAAAGATGTGTGTGTGTGTGGGGGGATACCCTGCGTTCTCCCTGTCTTACAAAAAGAGAAGAAGAAGAAGAAGAAGAAGAAGAAGAAGAAGAAGAAGAAGAAGAAGAAGAAGAAGAAGAAGAAGAAGAAGGGGAAGGGGAAGGGGAAGGGGAAGGGGAAGGGGAAGGGGAAGGGGAAGGGGAAGGGGAAGGGGAAGGGGAAGGGGAAGGGGAAGGGGAAGGGGGGGGGAGGGGGAGGGGGAGGGGGAGGGGGGAGGGGGGAGGGGGAGGGGGAGGGGGAGGGGGAGGGGGAGGGGGAGGAGAAGAAAGAAGGAAGAAGGAAGAAGGAAGAAGAAGAAGAAGAAGAAGAAGAAGAAGAAGAAGAAGAAGAAGAAGAAGAAGAAGAAGAAGAAGAAAGAAGAGAAGAAGAACCACCACCACCACCACCACCACCACCACCACCACCTGGGGGAACAGCTGTATACTTATATTTTCATATGTACTTACCATCCCAATAGAGTCAATTAACAATTCTAAATACTCCCAGTCTAAAGTTTGTGGGGAAACACTGAGTGTTTCTGCTGAAGATGAGGATCACAGATTAAAGATAAAGGCTGTTTCTTTATCTCCTACTCACCAATTCTCCATTAGAAGACTCACCACCACAGATGCACAAGGGGGTCTTTGGGTGAACAGAAAAGAACAGACTAACAAAAGGATGAAGTCATGAAATTTGCATATAGGTGGATAAACATGGACAGTATCATGTTAAGTGAAATGAGTCAGAAAGAGAGGGACAGACATAGAAAGATTGCACTCATTTGTGGAATATAAAGTAACAGAATGGGAGACTTACACC